GAATGAATGCGAGAACAATGGCATAACATGTAGAGTAGACCCACACTTAGATAGACATGAAGATTTCAGCAGCTATTATGCTGCGTAATGGTTTCCATGTGAAGGTTATCTTCACTAGCGGGAAAGATTTTGTTTCTTCGTTTTCTCCGGTATCGTTTTTTTGTTTGTTCAGTTTCCAACAGATTTCCACGGATTTTGTGGATATTATCCGTATGTTTTTTGATAATACTCAAATTGCTCTTACAATCATATAGGAATAGCTTTCTGCTTTCTATCCTAACCAACGGTGATGATAGCTTGTGCGACCGAGCTATGTTTAGTTTCTGCTGTGTGATCGGTTAAGCGCGAACCCGCTAGAGTGTACGAACATCTCCCGAGACACAAATGTCAGAACGTCAATGGTTGCTCTTTGATACAATCTAATTATTTGATTATTGTGTGTCTATGGGGTTGATGAAACTCTAGCTTGTAACACTATGGATGTGTTCACTGACCGGTGGTCTTGGCGTACTATTCTATATCACGTGCGGCTCCCCAGAGGCAGTCTTCACTTTCTCTACAAGCGATATATCCTCGAACTTCAGCGAGTTAGACTATTATCAAACCTATGATTTTGATGATTATATTTGCAAAGTATGCTGGGGGACAATAAACCCAACCCTTCCAGCCTTGTTGCATTGAGAGTCGCTATACGGACGGAGTACGATGCAGACCACTCGTAAAGTTCGGATATCGATGCCAGAGAACACGAGCTTATCTTCGCCTTATAGTTGAATAGAGAACGTTCAGTAGTCCTCGTATCTCCCTTAGGATGGCACCGGGCCATACTAGACCGATCGGGTGGCGTCCCGCACAGGCGCTCCTACCCCGTGTTAGAGACACTCGTGACACCTTCCCCGCCGCATTCGTTCATTCAACACCATCAACACCATCAACACCAGCGCAACGATCTCCCACATATCCTGTTCGGCGCCTCGCCGAATTTCGGCCGTGTTCATATATGCGTGCTGGCGTTGGCCGCCGATTCAGTATTTCTTTCCACGCTGCATCTGCCGGAGCCGGCCCAAGGCTGACTCGAGCCACAGGATGCTAGGTAACCTACCGTCTTCCCCGTTCCCGGCTATACTGACATGCCTAAGCACATTTGCTTGCGCATAATCAATAGTCGCAATGAACAAGATAGGCGTTCTCGTCCGCGCTCTCCGGAGATACAGCAGCCGCCACGATAGGCCATTGATCGCACAACATGACATCGTTCAGCTGCTGCTCACCGTCGAACATCGGTAGCAAGCGCTCAGCTGCAGTATCGATAATTTGCGCACGGCAAGAGTCGCAATGATACGACCGTAGACATGCCCTAATGCGGCATTGAGGCGAAAACTCGAACCCCAGCCTAACTCTAGGACCAAAATAGGTCCCACGAGCCGGTGGAACGGTTCCTGACTTGGCGTTTTCATTGTGCAGGTACGCGACTGGGCAATATCTGTTCCAGAAGGATTCCAACACTGCCCACGGTCCGGGGAGCGGTTCTGATTAGATGCTGGCTGGCGGGCCTGTCTGGGTGGTGTCTTGAAGCATCGACATGCAGACGGAGCTCTGCCCTTTGGAAACGCCGTGCATGCGATTGCGAGCTGACGACGAACATTTCCGCCAACAGCGCATTATTGGGGCCATCCGCGGCCTAATAAGCGAGCCATTTTCCGCCTCCGCATCAGCTCCAAATGCGACATTCCTAGGGTTCGGGGTTTCCCCTCTTTCATCTTTGCGGCACGAACAAAGCCTGATCACCCATCGACTTTCCCTCTTCTGACCATTTCAACTTACGCAACCCACTCGATATAAAATAAAATCCAGCTCATAAAGCATCATCTGCGTTCTCGGCAAGCCATTTGACATCTGTGCCCCAGAGACGCGCGGTAGCTTGTTCCATTTCCGGCTAAAGCGGTGGTGGCATTGGACCTGCAGCGGATCGTTTCTCCCACGTGCGACAGCGATCCTTCAACATGGAGTCGGGTCTTTCAACACGGATGGCAAATGCTCTGCATGAGGCCCAGCCGAAAATCCACGCTCTCTCCCCTCCAAAAAACTACAACCCCGCGGCAGCCATTGATCTATCCTCGGCGCAGAACGAAGTTATTCGCAAGGAGCTTCTCGAGTTCTTCAAGACTACCGTAGAAGATAAATTAACAACAGATGTAAGCCTCCCAGCCAACTTCTTGCGTTGTACTGAGCTTTGATGTAGGCATTTGCACTGGGAACCGAAGAACCTTCTCTTCGTAATGCTCTAGCATCATTCTTTAACTCATACTTCAACCCAATTCATCCCGTGAAAACCGAGCATATTGTTCTCACTTCTGGAGCAAGCAGTGCTCTGGAGACGCTGATTCACGCTATCTGCGATGATGGCGACAGTGTCCTTGTGCCGGGCCCTTATTGGTGTATGTGCTTTGTTCACAGTTTCTCCACACTAAGCTTCGATTTAGTTAATGCATCCAGACGGCTATGAGACAATCGTCAAATTCCGCTCAAATGTAAACATCATAACGGCCCATGCCCCCACATACGTAAATCACGACAACTACCTTCTGCCTTCTCTCCAAGCAGCATACGACTTTTCGGCAGACAAGTCGCGAATTAAGGCAGTCATACTGTGCAACCCGCAGAATCCCCTCTCACAGTGCTATCCCAAGAAGGCCATTGTTGAGTGTATGGAGTTCTGCCAAGAACACGGATTGCATCTTATCTGCGAGGAGCTATTTGCTCTCACATCGCTCAAGGGAACGCCAGATTGCACTCCGCCCTTTGTCTCTGCACTTTCATTGACGGAGCCGCTCGTACCTTCGGGCGCTGTCAAGGTCGATCCGAGCCGGGTCCACGTCATATGGAGTGCGAGCAAGCTCTTCGGACTCAGTGGATCTAGGATCGTGAGTCCCATCCTCCCGCATTTGGTGTGTATGATTGACACAACCAGGGCTGTCTCATCTCGCAACAAAACCCAGAGCTGTGCCAGGCGGTCGAACTACTGATAGCAAGTCGCATCAACACAGTCGCCGCTTTAAACCTCTCGTCTCTCCTAACCTGGTCCCAGCTACCAACACTCTTAGCCCTCAACTCGGAGCGTCTCACAGAATCCTACCGCCTTCTCAGCGATGCGTTTACGCAGTGGGGCATCGACTTTGTGCAGCCGACGCACGGCATCTTCCTTTTCGCCAAGCTAGCCAGGGGTGCGGCGAGCTCGGAGGAGGAGAAGGACTTCTTCGACCGCTTAGCAGTGCATGGCGTGCGTTGTAGTCCTGGCCAGCTCTTCAACGGAATCAAGCTCGAGTATGGGTGGGCAAGGATACGCTTCTCAGTCAGCCCGAATCAGATGAGATTAGCGGTTGCGCAGATTGCGACTTTTTTAGCGAAAGAGGGGCGAGTATAAGGATTTGTTTCTGAGGTTGAGGGGATGGTGATATGGATATAGGGCGTGTACATGGGCTGGGGTAGCAGCGGATGTTTTATACCATATTGACTTCGGGTTTTGGAGTGTTGAAGTCATAAGGGCCATATCTACTTGCTTACTTGCGTTTCCGATATCTGTGAAGTTTCATTATTGGACTAATGATTTCTCTCATGGCATCTATCTCACCGCGCGTTTTTAGTGGAAATGGGACTCAGAAATGACCCCCCGGCGCCCCGGCTACGTCCCCCCCAAAAAAAAAAAAAAAAAAAAAAAAAAAAAAAAATTAAATTAAATCAAAAATACAAACAAAAATAATTGATTTGTTATTTGAGCCCACCTAGAAAGTCAAGGTTAGGGTGTATTTATACGCTAGTGAGGACCATAGGCTGGATAACGGGCTAAATGCCGTTTACAATAGAGATGGATGAAGTTTGTGCGCTTGGGACATGCATCACGGCTCAGGCACTAGTTTTGAACATGTGGTATAGCTTAGCAGGTTTGTTTCGGGTGTGTTGATAATGAAAACTTGCACAGATAACAGGGTATGTTGAGTCTAGCTTGGAGACGCAGGATGGCGGACAACTATCTGGTTTTCTTGAGCTGGGAGAAGACAAGGCACCTTGCAAACAGGGGTTTGTATCTGGGAAGAGATGTGCATATTACATATGGATGGAATCGAATTCTATTCTCCGAGCACAAAAGCGGTTGTGCTTGCGCTTGAAGCTCTCATGTGGTATGACGTAAAAGTCGTAGCTCCGCAATTCTATTATCTAGAAGAGAATCCCGTGTCATATGCTGCGTTTTCCTGCGATGGGAGGAGGAACCAGCTGTCAAGCAGCAAACACCTACATACACTACTCTAAACATGTACCTTTCCGCCATGTCGATATCTATGTATATCCAACTCCTTCCCAACCGCAAGACACCTTGCTTTCCTGCAAGCTACGCGGTTCTTCATCACAGCTTCTGCATATTGTGTTGTGTTCAACAGGGCGTGTGTCGGTTGTCGGAATAACGCGAAGTCTGACGGGATGCGATCGGTTCGAGACGGACTTGGCCTTGATCTTGATCTTAATTGTGATGGATGAGGAAATATGCGAGTAGATAAAGAACGGAATATGTCGCGAACAGCGAATCGTCACACCGGGGCCTACGTTAGCTATCCATGACCGGCGCTCTACGATGTCTATCGGAGAGACGGTAATATCCGTCTTTGGCACGTCGTCTGGGATTGGCGCGAGCGACGAATGGTTTGACTTGGCGATTCTATGCGTGATGGTGAAAGGGGAGAACTGTGATTATTGCGCAGAGCAACGCCGGGAAATGAAGGAGTGTATCGGTGACGACGTCAAGATGTCGCGCGAGCGGAGATGGCATTGAGGGGACGCTAATAGCCCCTGACCGCCCCGCCGAGACTCCCACATGAACGTTTGCTCGCAATTGGTTTAAGTGCGTACAGGGTTGTCGTGGATTTTTCATTGCTTAATTACACTCTAGATAAAATATATGTATATAGTAAATGAAATTTGAGGTTTATTCTAAGTACACTGGGATAGCTCCTTTAGCTCAGTTGGTAGAGCGCAGCACTAGTATCTCTGCGAGATGCTGAGGTCATCAGTTCGACTCTGATAGGGAGCATTTTATTTTGGGTAGCTCGGCTCCCGCAACGTCTCACTTTATTCCAATAGTATCCTGATATTTTTTTTCCTTAGGCAGAACGTCGTAGTATGCTATATCTTAGGTTCCGAATCACAGGCTGTCGTACAGCTACAGCGTGCACTAATGTAATAATTAACCATAAACATTTCTGGGTAATACTTAACTCCTGTATCAAGCATGAAGTGAGAATGTGTTCGGTAAATGTATACCCAAGAATTTTTTTGCGGCTTTGACAGGCCGCTCTTGGTAATTTTATCGCCACCAGGCTATTTTCCCCTCCACCCATCCTATCATCCTAATAGCGAAAACACGCGAAACGGCACGATATCATCCAATACTTCCCAATCCGCTAGCCCCCATACGGATGACGACCCTTCCAAACGCGGCAAAAATTTCGAGTCCTTGATAAGCATGGGAGGTGCGATTCAGCGAATGTTCAAAAGTAGGATAACTTTTCTCGTGCAGCTTAGTATAAGGCATCACTCGGCTAGTATAGGCCATGCGGAGCAATGAATGATAGAACACCGGGTAACTACCATCAACCGATTTCCCTTAGAGGCGATGACTATGTTCTAGATAGTTGACCCTCGGATAGAAGGAACAATCACACCGTCTCCTGTCGATGCGCTCGTCCGGCGACGCGATGGACGCGAAGCCGGGGACGAAAAAAGCTGAGGATCTAAGCTCCGAGAGGTCGGAATGGGCACTCATGATGGCCTGTCATAGACTCGGTAAGCCCAATTAGAGTGGCATTCGGACATTGCTGCGAACTATCCTACCTCGGTTCTACGTCAATACTCCTCGCCTGGTCGCTCGTAAACAACTCTTTCATCGATAAAAATTCGCTGCCATCATCTTCTAGCGATGGAGCCATGTCCGAAGCATTATGCTTCTCGTTTAACGCTTACTTTCCATGCACACAGCCCCAGTTTTAGACGGATTTGCTACTAGGAACGCCTTTATTGACAGCAGCTCGTCTGGATCATGCTCTGTCGAGACAATGCGCCGGTGTCAAGCTTGACGTGCTCGATCTCCTCATTCCTAGTCGCAACAACGGCGTTCGATTCCAACCCCGTTCCCTTCTCACGATCGCCAACCAGGTAGTCATGTGACCTTGTCATCTCTGATCTAGGCAGCTTCGAGGTATCAAATGCCGTTGGTTGACGAGGGAATAGCCTCTACATCGCAGGCCGCCCAGTTTTGATGGTGAGCTCGGTGTCGTAGGCTCTGATGGACGGGCGGGGGTTGCTTGAGCCGATTGTGTTCGTCATCTTGATAGTTATGGGCGGCGGGGGATTTCATGCTATTGTGGTGCCTTTTGTTAGTGAGGAGCATAGAAAATATGGCTCTTTCTAAACTGACTAAGGACGACTTGCAGCCAATCGATATACGGAGACCAGGCTAGATTCAAGACGCTCAAGTTCGGTGAAAGGGTTGTGACGGACGGGGTGCTCACTCTGCGGTACGTCTAAGACTTGTTCTATTGGTATATGTGAACTGTGATTTAGCTCAGTGCACCTCCATTAATATTCTTTCCCTAGGCTCGGTAAGGACTGCTTTTCTTGCTTAATAATAAGGAGTTCACTCAAGGGTCAGCTAAGGTGATGCATAAAGACAACGTTTCTCCGAAGGCAGCCGAGTTCTTATGTTGTGCCCTCGGAACGGCTTCAAAATAACACATGTAGAGCCCGCATATTAACTTGAGCACCGGGGAAAGGTCACCCCATGGATTAGCAAGCTTGTCAGCGAATTATGTCGCGGATTGATGGGATGCCGAGTCCTGTAAGAACTACCGTGATCACAGGTCATTTGTAATGATATCCCTGTAGCGCGGTAGGCTGACTCTAGGACAGTGTAGCCTTCACAATCTTCTACTTCTGTTTCGCTCAAATGCAAAACAACCTCATCTTGCCAGCTATGAAAATGGATACACAACGGGCCCAACAATATTCTCCCGGCCATGAATCAAGTAGCTTGCATGGTGCTCGGTCCCGCCATCCAGCATAGTCCTTCTCCGTTGCTGCACAAGCGGAAGATCTACCTTAAGCCCATCTCAAGGATAACGATTGGATATATATTCATCGCACTTTTAATGGCCTAAACGACTGTTGTCCGACACATGATATATTCCACCAACCCTTGCTTCAAGCGTCCATTGACATGCAATGCATTTGATGACCAATCTAAGCCGAAAGGTGTAAATTTTTGGAACTAGACACTAGTATATGTCTTCATTGCCATCGGGGAGATGCTTACATACGTCACTGCTTTGGAGTACGCGTACGACTACTCACCCAGAGATACGAGAGCCGTCATCCAAAAGATTAGTCTACTACACGCTGGTATTCGATGGGCGTTTACAATGGGCTTGACAACTTTAGCTCGCGATCCGCTCTTGGTTGCTCTGTACGCCGGCCTGACTTCCGCAATGTCCCTCACTACCGTTCTCTTCTGCCTACTCTTGTACAAATAGGACAACATGTCCGCAACCTTTCGGAGATGAAAATATCATTGTGAAGATCGATTCGGACCCGGAGAAGGAGGACACGCTCACTTTTAAACGGGGCTCCGGGGTGCTTAAACTGCTGCCCAGAGTGGCACCTCAGGGCGTCCTAGTATACTCGCACAATGCTAACGCACAACGTCTTATACCGTCCTATCCTTACATCCGACACAATAGTAAATAGTAGCGGCATGATATATTAGAAGATGTAAAAAGTGCAGTACATCCGCGTAGCTATCGGCCAGCCTAGACCGAGTGCGCAGAGGGATCCGCTGGTCTGGTGTTCCTTCTCCATGCCGTTTTCTGTGTGTAAGATGTTAGCGTCAAATCTGAGGGATGGTGAGACGAGACGTATGCTATAGCACGGTGAGGCCCTAGAAGGCGGAGTGCTTCCAGAACGCAATGATTGCGACGGCACATAGTCATCTCGGTACATCGTTAGCGATGCCACGAAGGTGCTGCGTTCCTTAGAGCAGCTACGGGGTTAAGTGGGGTTTTGAGGACCTGGTGGTTTTGAGGTTAGGGTGGTGGGCGGGGATGTAGGACGAGGTTGACTTGCTTCTGGGGGTTTGCATTTAGTGATTCGATTGCGGACGCCATTGCCTTTCTCGGGAGAGTTGGGAGAAACCGAAACTGGCTCGAGGCTTAAGGAAATCTCTGGAGATTGGGGTCATTCGACAATCTATATAGCAAATGTGATGGTCTGGCCCGTGCCATTTGCGTTTTTTTTTTTTTTGGACGTTGCCGTGTGAGTGAGTCGAGGGAATGGTAGAGTTGTAAATTTCGACGCACAGACGACCACTGCACAGCTTTCACTCTCTTAGCATAAATTCTCCGACTAGCTTTCAAGCCAGATGTGAATGTGAAAGAGTATCCTGATGGATATTCTCACCTATTCTAATCCTTGAGTTGGTTTGATCACTTACTAGTTGAAACTTACCTTTTGGGTTTAAGGACTTCACTACTGATTATACTAAGCTCTAGGTCTGGTGGACATGTCGTCTGACACCAGTGAGTAACGGAAAAATATAGAGTGATAGATAAAGCAAAGTGGCTAATGAGAAGGCGTGCGCCTGTCTATGTGCATGTCCATTGAACCAGCTAAAATGTTTTAGCAGCACAGCTCGCTGATGGATGCCCAATCTGTAAGTATGAATTTCTGTTACTCGGAATTATATTTTCGTCTGGCCAAAGTCGAAGTATATGGTGATTAGACCCGCTTTACTAGGAAACAGGAGCGGTACATAACGTTGTTTAATTTTCATAAAAATCTAATGAATGATTAGTATCTTGGAAAATGTCTCGCGATATGTATAGAACAGAGTCAAGGAAGTAATTGAAATAGGTAGTTGACCTTAATGCGTTGAACTGATCATTCATGTCATTCTAGCCTTTAAGTAAGAGTCTTAATCATCTACATTACGGATTTGACGGCTAGTCAATAATTAGCTAGTCATGTATTTAACTAGGTAATTGGACATTTTGGACTGTGAATGACTAGCTAGGGAAACCGTAGCGCGTACAATATCTCGGAGTCCAAGTTTGCGCACGTCCTCAGCAACTTCGACAAGACTGAGAAACACAGCCGCAAAGTGTTTTACACAAAGCACTTCGAGCCGTCGGTTATACATTTATTTCAAGGTATAAGCCTGATATAGTAATACCGCTGCCAGGCTCTCGATCCGTTTAGAGACGAGACATAAAGGGTCTTAGCATGTAATTCTCAATTTTGACTAAAGTTGTCCAAAATTTTAGTGGCAAATTCATTCCAAAAAATTACTGATCACACATAGAATATATTCTCCGGCGTAAATATTTGAGAGATGAGATGGCGGTCTAAACAGAGTTGAGACGCTGGCCGCCGGAGATTATTCATGTCCCGTAGGCGAACGGGGCCCACGGATCATACGCTTTTTGCCAGGTATTCTAGAGACAAGAGTGGAATCGGTGTATATCTATCGATGGGATTACGAGTCGCAATCTTGATACGGAGAGAGTAAATATAATGGCTTTAGATTAGATAAACACCCGTTGTGTATATACTTTTGTTGATAGTTCGATCAACTGACATGGCCAGCAGTATATGGGAATTTCTTAAGTGTGGCCCGAAATGAAATATTGCGATGCGAAGCGTAGTAGTGTCTTCTAGTTCTATATCTTAAAATCTTTCAGAGAGAAATTATTGTTGCAAAATGGTACAAACAGATCTTGGTTGACGATAACGCCCCAAAGGAGACTAATAGGAAGCCCTTTTGGCTAATGCTCCAAATACGTTTGCGAATCGAGTATATAAAAAAGGTTTATTCTTGTTGCGAGCCAAGTCATGAGAGCCTGACCAAAACATTAGTCCTTCTCGTGAGCGCAGCATTATGCGACAGTGTCAAATGAAATATTTAAATTCGTTATCGCATAAAAACCTATGCAATTCTCTGGAGAGAACTTCATTCAATCCCAGTTGCGTGACGAGGCCATAGAA